GCTCATGCATGCTTCACGGGGCTCCGTGAAATATACACTTATTTATTTATTTATTTAATATCCCAGAATTCCACCCAAACAGAGTAAACCGTTAAGGATAACTGGACAGAGTTTATGTACAGGTCCAAACCTACGAGCGTCTTCCGCAGTTGTTTTGAGCGATTTTTCTCCCAGGTAAACCTTATTTGGCACCATCTTCAAGATACTAATTTCGGCATCAGCTGTACCTCGCATGGTTATTTTCCCGTGTGATGAGCACTCACCCAAATGGTGCAATTTCCGGACACGGAAATATAAGACGAATCTTATCAGCCAGACTACCGCCTTGGTGAGTCGCCGCCAGTCTGAATAGTGATAGAAGAGCGGGTTGAACTCATGGGTGGCAATAGTCGCGCTTATGTTTGCAGACCCTTTTATTTCGATGCCCTCTGGGATAGCGTCCCATGGTAGCTCCTTCGGGGAAGTGATCAGTCGGCCCTGTAGGAACGTAGGTCCTCTTCACCACTCTTCCACGTATTTCTCGTTGTATACACCTCTCGAGGTCCAATCTGCGGAGTTCTCCTCCGACTTTACATGCGCCCAATGACCAGGAGAGGAAAATTAATGGATAAATGCGATTCGGCTGGCCACGAACGTACTGAATCGAGTATTCGTATTCTTTATGTAGTAGAGTACAATCACAGAGTCTGTCCAGAATCGAACCTCATCGAAAAAATTTGACATACTCCTTCTCAGCATACCATAGATGCGCGCACCCAACGCAGCCGCTAATAGCTCCATCAAAAGTATCGTCCAGGATTTAATGGGTGCCACCCTCGATTTACTGCAGAGTAATACACAATAGGGGGACTTTTCTTTAGGGGTGCGCCGGAGGTAAGCAACTGCACCATAGCCGGATTCCGAAGCGTCGCAAAGTATGTGCGGTTCGGTTTTCCCTGTCTGCTGCGGATCCTCTTTGCATATAGCCCTTGGAATGTCGATAATATACCTTTCCTAGTTTTTGTAGTAGAAGTTACGTTGAAGCAAAAAACGAACACGTCTTCAATCGTATTCCAATCCAAACCCAACGCTCATTTTGGAGTATCAACCGGGGAAGTGACCTGTACTGTGTTGTCTGCTACCCCGGAATCTGTTAGGGAGTTCTTCACCAACGGCGAGTTTGACATCCACATTCTCAAATTAAACTCTCCTCGAAGTAACATCTCGCTTATCTCTCTCGCGAGAGGAGATACTTGTTCGCTGGACGTAAACGATATAAGACAATCGTCGACGGACAATGCCGCAATGCTCCTGCTCGCACGAGGCAGCAAAGAATTTGGTGAGTACGGTGAAAAGTGCTGTGTCATCAGCAANCACAATTTACAGAACTGTTGAAGAAGTTCCTACCAAAGAGCGAGAGTGCCGTGCACCACAACGTCAAAGAAAGATCGGTGAGACCGCGCAAACCACGAAGATCGCGAACATCAGTGCGATGTGTTACTTCGGTGAACGATTCAGCTGATCAGAGACAAGGAATCAACCCAACATTCCCAAGCGACTCTACAAGTTCGAACGATCGCTTCACTGAACTTACATACTCAAGCACAAGAATCAGAAAGTAGGTACCCGGGGATCCTAAAGCGACTAACAGAGAGATTACTACACTTGATCTAAGAAACTCAATCCCAGGAGGAGTTCAGTTCGACGAAGTTCTTTCGAGGGAGGAGAGTTGTCGTAATTCGGGCCTACGAGATGACGCCTACCCTGGAGCGGCGCATCACAGTTTTTGGACACTCGTGATCAATCAAATTTAAATCCTGACGTCAATTATACGCGTACGGCTTCCGACTAAGCGCCATAGGCAGATCGTGCCAGCCAATCCAATAAAGTGCAGACAGAAGCAAGATTATGCAAGCGGTACTGCGATCTCATTGATGGAGGCCCAGATAGCCAATACTCTTCTTTTGTACATATTATTTAATGGCCTCATTTATTTCAATAAAGGAAATACGCACTACTATTCTTATGGCCTTTTCCTCGTGTCTCGTTTTTGTGGGTCATTGCGAACCCGCGCCATTGAGGTTCCGTGCTTCTGTGATCCAGTCCGTGTCCAGTCGTGTCCAGTGGTTACTGTTGCGTGGTTTGCATTCCGAATTCCGTGTGTATTACCAATACTAAAATGATCATTACACTATTGCTAGTGGTGTTCCTCAGGGATCAGTTCTCGGTCCACTCCTTTTCTTGCTCTTCATCAATGATATTCCTGAATGCCTTGTTTCGCCTAGCTATATGTTTGCGAACGACTTCAGGGTTACAGGATCAAATGGGAGAGCAGAACTGGGGAGGGACATAAGAGAAGTGCTCAAGTGGTCAAGTACATGAGATCTGCCTCTCATCACAGGAAAGAGTCATGTCTTAACGACTGGAGACCACGAGCTGATATTGGGCAGTAGTCATGGCGGTCATTCACAAGGAACGACACAGAAAGCTGGAGATTTAGAAATCATAGTGACAGAAAACTACGAATGGGCAGAACAGTGTGCCGCAGTAGTGCACCGGGCCCGTAGAGAGCTTCTTAGATTGAGGTCGGCACTAACATGTAAGAAACGGGAGGTATTCGTAACGCTATACAAGGTCATTGTTCGACCGCATTTAGAGTCTTGTATACAAGTCTTGGCTCCCTTGTTCAAAAAGGACGCCGACTGTCTCGATGGGGTCCAACAATTAGCCACAAAGATGATCGAAGGACAGCGAGAGAAGCCGTATAAGCAGAGACTGCAAGACCTTGGACTCTTCTCCTCGGAAAGTAGCAGACTCCTAGGTGACTTGATAGAGACATTGGAAATTATGAATGGCCTATCAGGGAGGTATCAAGTAGTGTTCTTTGAGAGGATTCAAAGGAATAATACGGGGCACATGTACAAGCTGTAGAAAGTGAGCACGAGACTATCGGCGCGTTCATACTTCTTTAGCAACAGGGTAGTCAGCTGATGGAATAGGCTACCACAGGAGCTGATGGAGCCAGGGAGTGAACATGCTTTCAAGAAGGGGCTCGATAGGCGCTGGTTGAACTTATTTCCCGAAGTATACGCATAGGTTAAAGCCTGAAAACAGTGGTAGGTTTTTTCATTTACTAACCACCCCAACAAGAGAAGGATTCCAAATGTGAGGTCTCTCGACTGAACAAGGGGAGAAGATATTCTTTTTTCCAACCTATTCCCTTGCAGAGGCGGAGATGACTGAGACGAGAAGAAAATGTGTAGAAATACAAAATGGAACACTCGCAGCGGTAAGGGCCAACACGCTTTTTGGTACCGAAGGAACTCTGGGCGCTCGATTGGCCGTGGCCGTCTCCTGTCCTGCGCAAACTGAATGACTGAGGTTTCACATTTAATTCCCTTAACCATCTTTTTCCGCAACTGCCCTTCAAACGTGGGTAGAATTTGTGCGTCATTCTAAGGTTTCAACTTATGGAAAATCAGGCGATAAAACGAAACACATTGGTTACCGGAGATGGTACATAAATCGATGCGTAAATGCGGGACACTGAAAACCACGCTAACGAATTAAATAAGATACCTAGGGCGTTTTGATCCGCACTCTTATGTGCTCTTAGAACAGAGCACTAGACTACAAATTCAGACTGAAAACTGTGAACGCAAAATATTGTGAAACCTGGTAAACTTTCAATTTCTGACAACTGAACTTTATTTTTCCGATCCAAACAAGGTGCAAAGCAGAGCACGTCGAAAATTTCAACCGTGGGAGGTGTAGAAGAAATAAGTCAGCATTGAAATATGTCCAGATATACTGCGAATACGTTGTGAATAACCAAAAGCACATGATTTGAACAACAACAAAATTTCACAACCTGAGAAAATCGTTGGCCTTGGATATAGGTCAGTTTTGTTTTGTTTCTCCAATGGTCTTCTGTAATTCGTGCAAAATTATGAATCATATATTTACCTGCGCAACGTGCTGATTTATTCGTTAATCATGGGTTTGGAGCGATATACCGTATTAGAGTGCATTGGAGAGGGTTCTTTCGGACGGGTTTATCGTGGAAGAATCAAAGAAACCGGGCATGTTAGTTAAATGAGTCCAATATTACGGTTTAATACAGATTGTTGCCATGAAGTTCATACCCAAAGTGGGAAAGAGTGAGAAATCTCTAAGAAACCTCAAACGCGAAATTGAAATAATGAAGTCGATGCATCATGTTAATATAATTGAGATGAAGGACACTTTTGAAACGGAACGAGAAGTAAATTTTAGATTAGTTCTTTCATAGATTCGCGTTTTCATTTCTAGGTTGTGGCTATCACTGATTATGCAGAAGGAGATTTGTTTCAAATAATTGATGATGATGGGAAGCTTCCTGAAGATATAGTTAGGTTTTCGACATTCTCGGAAAGTTTACTTCATCTTTTAGGTTCGTTCAATTGCCTGCCAATTGGTTTCGGCTTTATACTATTTGCATGCACATCGCATTCTACATCGAGATATGAAGCCTCAGAATATTCTTCTGGGACAAGATGGCGTAGTGAAACTTTGTGACTTTGGTTTTGCCAGGGTCATGAATTTGAATGACATGGTATTGACTTCGATCAAGGTGAGCCATCCTATCCGAAATCATCAGCGAACTATCTGATAATGATAATCTAGGGAACACCGTTATATATGGCTCCAGAGTTGGTAGAGGAGAAACCCTACGACCACACGGCTGATTTATGGTAGCTACATTGTTTACTTTCCTCAACTCGTTTGTTTCTGAAAGGGCTCTTGGATGTATACTTTATGAGCTGTTTATCGGGACACCCCCGTTCTATACAAACAGCATTTTTCATCTCGTAAAACTCATAACGGAAACTCCAATCCAGTGGTCAAATGAAATGTCCCCAGAATTCAAAGACTTTTTGGCCAGATTGCTACATAAGGACACTAGGAAGCGTTTGCAGTGGCCGGAGCTTTTGGAACATCCATTTGTAGCTTCCGGAGTTGAGAGTAAGTTAGCTTTTGTAAAAGAATACATTCACCTAATTTGAAAGCATTTATATTCTTTTGTTGTTAAATACGACCCATAGAAGAAACTTTTTACTGGCCAATTAGAAATTCTACCGTAAGATTTGTTAGTGCTTACAAGCAGTAAACTTAATCTCATATGCCACGACATTCATCTCTTTATTTGAAATACTCCTGAATTCTTATGGTTCTCAGTGAACCACAAATTGAACCAAAATACTAAATTGCTTCTTTGGTAAAATCGTTTATTTATCACTTCAATAATAATTTTAGTTCATGATTCGATACACTTTTTTGGGAGAGTTGAGCGGTTCTTTAGTCTGTAGTTTCACAGTGGCAGTTTTCCTCTTATTGCCTCTTCTTCTCCCTTAATTTCCCTGGTGGATCTGCTTTGGTTGGACGTAATCATTGAACCACGGAAAGGGAACAACTCCACCCACAGGACAGCTTCAGTTATCGAACAATCTTTTGCAACTGAGAATATCCTTATATAACCATGAAATAATTACCAGAACCAACAGAATTCAGATATCTAGTACCATCTTGACCCTTAGTCACTAGACCGAGATTCTTCTTATCCTTCATAAATAAGAAAACTTTCTTCTCAGTCAGTCACGATCAAGGGTACCGTCGAGATTTATCAAATATTGTCATTATTTGGCGGTAATGACCTTTCAGCAAAAACTTCTTTATTAGAGATAGCAACCAAAACACCAAATGAGCAAAGGTTTTCTCTTACTGTAGTTGTGCTTTCAATGATCTCGAATAAGCCGCACTGGCACGTTTCCCTACGGTAACGTCTGTATTGCACGCTTGCTCTGGTGTAAGGCTTCTGGCCCCGACAAGCTGTTCCCATCGGTTTTTAAGGATAGAGGTTCAACCTTGGTTTTGGGGTTAAAGAAACTCGTGAACTCTATGAGAGAGAGGGACTAGGTTCCAACTGTATGGTGTGAACCGGGATCCTACGGACTGAGAAGAAAGGCAGCAGATTCTCTTGTAAAAATCAAAAAGGAATTAGTTTAATCAAAATCTTCTCCAAACTTCTCGCTGGTATTATATCCCCTCGGTTGTCTGCCGCACGTGAAGAGTGCACACGTGAGAATTAGATTAGTTTTAGACCTGGTCAAGGTAATATCAACCACATCTTCACTCTTCGTCAAATTACAGAACACAAACAATCCTTTATTAGATCCACTATTTATATCTTCCTCGATCTTAAAGCGGCTTTTGACTCAGTCGATCGCCGTAATCTCTGGCGCTGCCTCTCTCTGAAAAGTGTGTCTGAGAAGTTTATTTCAATATTACAATCCCTTCATAGTAACAGACAAAACCCAATTGAAGCTTACGGCACTCTTTCACTCGAGTTCACTAGAAAAGGAATGGATTGGTCCAGCCACCAACCTCACCTTGACTGGGGAAGTAGTAGAGAAAATAGACAAGTTATTCTCTCTGGTGAACGCATCACATATGAAGTGTGGCGACATCCGGCTGTCTGTAAAGAGTCGAGTATATGCTGCATCAGTTCGGCAAGTACTGCTCTACGGTGCAGAGACTTGGTCACTACGAGAAAGTGATGATAATAGATTGTCAGTGTTAGAACACCGCCGTCTACTTTGCATTGCACGAGTCTAGTGGGACAACTGGACGAGCAATGCCGAAGTTAGGCATAGAGTTTTAGGTAATCGTGGTCGTCCACTAAAGCAAGTAGTCAATCTCCATAGATTACGCTGGTTGGGATACATGTTACGCACGTTACCAGATAGGTTGCCACGGCGAGCGATGTTTGCCGAGGAAGGTAACTTTTCAGAAAAGTCAAGGGCTGTCAAACAAAGACCAGACATTAGGAAATGAAAACCCTAGCCAGAAGACTGGGTCACATAGGCCTCGTTGGGCTCCCTGACTGGGGACCTCTAGACCATGGTCATCGATGGTTATTGACACTAATTGATATAGCTGAGTTTCGCAAACAGTGGTGCTCAAGCATCTACTAATTGTTCTCTTAACACCAGTCTATAAAAATTCTTTCTTTCTCGCTTGAGTTTGCTTTCAACATGCCATCTTCATTCTGCTCTTTTATCCAAATGGGCGACCAAAAGACAGCGACGAAAACCAGTGCACGAAAGTGCATGAAAAAAAAACTGAAAACTGAAACGAAATCTTGCTTTGTTTGATCAGATCTGCTTTTACGTTTCTGCTGCGGTTGTTGAAGTACTATCCCAGGCTAATATTAACTCACTTCGAACATTTTGAAAGTATCAGAGTATACATTTCCTGCCATCTCAAACTTTGGTTCTATAGCACTTGGAAAGGAAATTGCGAAAGAACACAGGCAAACATTAGTGTAGGGTTAAAAAAAAACATCAATAAACACCTATCCACTATAATGGTCCCCCTGGGATTTTGAAGGAACTGCAATCGAACTCTAAAGGGACGACGGATAATGCTATTTTTCCGACGGGACTCCAGTGAGAAGTAAAGCTATCTCACGTAATGTATTTATAATGAATAACGTTGTATAATATTGTGAATGTTTCAGAAGCTTGCTTTCGTTTATTACTTTAGGCTATGGTTAGTGTAGCAACGCATCACACACTTCTGAACTGTAAAAAACTTGCATTGGATAGGTTTGACCTGGATTCTAATCGTATTCCCGTTAAGACAATAATGAAGAAAGCACACACATTTTACTCTCCCAGCAACTACTTTCCCTCCAACCGACGAATATAGGATGAATTTTCCCCGGACACACATGTGATGGTGTGTGCTAAATTGTGAAACCTTTGGCACCATTAAAATATCAGACAGCCCTTGAAGGATCAAACGCAGACAGAAGCAGTTCAATCGATGATGCTGTTTGGTTCAAAGATTTGATAGTTTCGGGCTGAGAACAAACGAAGCGCATTTTCATTCGTATATTGCTGACTATGACTAATGACTTAAATGTAGTGCTTAAATGTATACTAGACAAACGCTACTAAGGTTGAGCAAATAATGTTAAGCATTCGCTCTCACACTCTGACTCAAGTTCATGATTACGAATTGTGTTGACCGCGGTATCTGTTGCTCTTGTCACCAGATTGGTTTAAATTTTGTGTTATGTTCCAGGATGTTAGTTGGTGGAAAAGGGAAAAGGTTATCGCGCCCAAACCTAGGATGATATTAAAAAGCCTGATCAGGTTACTTAATAATTTAGACCCTAGTAAACTTCTTTGTTGAGGGCCTTTAAATTAGAGTAGTTGATGCTCAGTTGTGCACACTCATCCAAACTACATTTTACATTTGGATGTGATATTGATCTAAGCTTCCAACTTTTCACCATTGTTCCTTCATTGCCGGTTAACCAAATAGACAGCCAAAAGACATTCATAAAAACTATTGCTTGGAAGTGTAAGATTACTAGTTGTCTAAACTGAAACAAAATGTCTTGAACTTTGTCGTAGTTGAAATTACTGGTTTCTAGAGTATCTGGCGGAGCTGGCGCACACTAGTTGAAATCGAATAAGAGGGGTACACATTGAATCCACTCCTAGCGCCAAAAGAGGATATTTTATTCAATAATCACAAAGAGGAGCAGTTTACCCGTCAAAACAGCAAGCCAGATGGACGTAAGATCGGAACGTTTTGTGTTTTTACATAGAAGAGGAAGTTTTCTTACCTAATTGGGTATTTACCGCTAGCTCAAGCTGGGCAGCCAACAGACTATGAGATGCATGTTTGTCCATGGTCTGTCTATCCCATGGGGTGAATGAGGCTAAAGCCTAATCCGGAACGGTGGACGAACAATCAGTGCCCCAGCGAACATACCTCTAAACTCAGACCCAATGGCCTTGAGTGAATAATCCGTTAAAGCTACCACTTCGGCGCTTCAGTCGTATCCCCGAGTTAGATTTGTGCTTCACTATATTGGGGTTAAAATCTGCAATCCAAATATTTGGTTATGGCTTCTTAATGATGACCCGTTCATCAGCGTGAGCTACCACAAACTACATCCTGTCCTAACCTCAAGCAGCCATTTGGAAATCTATTGGTCTTGTTCATCTAATTATCAGCCGCTGATTACGAGTGGAATTGCGTGCATGGTACATATGTGAAGTGAATCTCAATAAAAATAATATCCAAATGATGAATGTGATCTTCTTGCGTAACTCTCTGCATTGCGGCTTTGTTTTCTAATAGCGAAAGAAAGATAGGGGAAATGCCATGCTTTGTTTGAGAGAAAATTTAAATATCACATATGTATATTGTTGTCACACATACGCTTGAAGCGTAAATTATTGAAGCCTAAATGGCTATTTTAATAGGTATAATTAACTGATAAAGTATAGAAGAAATATTATGCTTGGTGCCTTGATAACTTTGATAGTTGAGGAGTGTAATATGTATATGAATAAACCAGAGTGAAATCAAATAATCTGCAGCATTTAGGTCAGTCCTGCTCTACGGTGCAGAGACTTGGCCAGTACGGGATGTATGCTGCAGCAGTTCGGCCATTCCTGCTCTACGGTGCAGAGACTTGGCCACTAAGGGAACAGGATAAAAATAGATTTTCGGTGTTCGAACACCGCTGTCTACGTAGCATTGCACGTGTCTGGTGGGGTAACCGGACTAGCAATGCTGATGTTAGGCGTAGAGTTTTAGGCAGTCGCGGTCTTCCACTAGAGCAAGTGATCGACCTCCATAGATTACGCTGTTTGGGACATGTGTTACGTATGTCGCCAGATAGGTTGCCTTGGCGAACGATGTTTGCCAAGGCTGGTATCGATTGGAAAAAGATGAAGGGTGGTCAAACCAAGACCTGGCATGAGGGTATGAAAACTCTAACCAGGAGACCAGGTTACATAGGTCCCGTTAGGCTCCCTGGCTGGAGACCTCGGGACAATGGTCACCGATGGTTATCTACACTGAGTGATATCGCTGGGTGTCGCAAACAGTGGCGCTCGTGCAACCACTCGTTATTCTCCTAACACCACTCTATATGCATTCTCCATTTTCCGCTTGAATTTGCTTTGACATTCCAATGTTCATTTTGCTCTTTTATCCAAATGGGTAACCAAAAGACAGCAACCAAAACCGGCGCACGAATGTGCATGGTTAATGGTTGTAAAAAACTGAAACTGAAACTGAAATCAAATAATATACCATACTGAATACTTACTCAATGGTTTGTATACAACTGCTCGACGGGAACAGAAGTTCATACATTGTCACAAATGAAGAAACGACTTAGGGAAACCGACCTCACAGTTCTCAGGTTTCCTTTTGAGCCTTCTCATCACACTATAATAGATACTTAACTGAGGCTCCAATAAGCACTCATCTTTTTATTGGTGCGGATATCAGCTTAAGTTAACATTCTGGAAGACATACTTAACTTTTTATCCCTTAGCTTTGTTTCATACCAGATTTTCTGCCACTGGCTTCTTTTTGTTGAGTAACGATAATCAGGCAGTTTAACACATTTCAAACTGCTTGACGATCAAGGCTCGTCATTTGCACCATCCAAGTGCAAAGTACTTGTACAAGACTAGAAGGAAATTGTGCTTTCACTCACTCATTTTGGCGGTCAGATAGAAATATCCGAAAGCTTTAAACACCTAGGGTGCTCAGTTGCAGCTGGAGGTGTTGTTTGAAAAGAGATCACATCATCATTAACAAAAGATAGAGAAGCTTTTACCAACTTGCGATACTGGTGGTGATGCCACGGCAATGAGTGGTCGCTTAAGGGAAGGGTCTACATATCTGTGGTTCTTGGTGTTCTGCTAAATGACTAGAGACCTGTCCGCTCCGAGCGGAGGATACTAATGTTTCTCGCAAGAATATATGTGATTCTTTTATTGAATTGAATGAATTGCTTCCCACAAATGTGGTTTTATCAATGAAGTATCCTGAAAAATCTCTTGATGGTATGTGTAGATACACCGCACAACTCACAGTCTGATCTTGGTCACAGCTTAATCAGTTTCTCTTTCTAGTTTATCAACGGACGCGTTTACTGTCAAGCCCGTTCACACAACCGCTCACACCAAGCCAATTGGCTGAAAAAGAGAGACAAACCAAGCAGATGCTGAGACCACGTGGTTCAAGAATGCTACGACGAATGGGTGGAGAACGAGTACACTCATTGCGTCAGCTGAAAGAAGAAGACCGTTTAACAGATTCAACGTCGAGGCAGTCGACTATATCCAACAGTTCATCACGAGCTGGTTCAAGATGGAACTCGTTATATGAAGCTGAAAGTTCAAGACAGGGACCAGCTTCCCATGGCCCGGCACCTCAACAGCGACCAAGTTCTTCCGATATGAGCCGAGTAAGTTGATACTTCGGCATCATTATTGAACATAAGCATTATGATGTTCACTCGACAGAGAAAATCAAAGAAGCCATTAGGTGTTTAAGAAACATTGCGTCTTTCTGATCTGGACTGAAATTAATTCTTTTGCGTTATTTTTAAATTATATTTTCAGTTATTATAAGGTATATTCGTTTAAAATTATGAGCTGACTCCCTATGTTAATTTATATTATGGTAATCAATGTACATATTAAACAATGCTTTGTTGTAAAATCACATATTAGAAACTGCATATTATTTTTGGGAGAAAACATTTTCATACCTACCACGTTTTAGTCGAATAAGTAAATCAAATAGCTTTATGAGAAATTCGCTCTGGAATGTGTACTGAACTGCGAAATCCGTACTACTTGCGGCTGCTTTTGTTATTATGATGTAGTGATTCAAATTTGCTGCAACTGGAGGAAAAAATAGCGTACGTTGAAAAACACTTTTCTCATGTTTATTGTTATTATGGAAACTAGAATTCGAAACCAAATAATATGGTGGACTCATAAGGCCATGATTTTAAGTGTCACCTTTACAACCAATGCCTGGACAAATTAACTGACAGTTGCATGTAAATTATTGAAAAACAGCGATCTTATGACTACTCGAACCATATGCTGCATATCCAGCTTTATTCCAGACGAAAAACCAACGTAAGTTTCTTTTGGCTTCTGTGAACGGCAACCTTTGTGCAGCGTTCAAATTACCTTATCTTACTGTAAATTATTCTCATTACTACCTAAGAATAAAGTGAAAACGTAAAACGTCTACTTTTTGATATATCGCTCCAGTCATTTACATGTCATCCTGTCATTCAGTAAATGAGGAAGTGGCGTAAGTCGGGGTCAGATGAATTTCTGTGCAAGGTGAGTGCAAAAGAAAATAATATTGACGATCAGAGTGAAAAGTGTTTGAACTGCATGAGATAAGCAAGATATTGGTCGAGAACGAGTAAAACAGGTAGAAAAAGAATACGAAAGTCAGTAGACATAAGGGATCGGGAATGGGAGAGACCTTAACAGAGAAATGTCGGCGTTTCGGCGTTATGTATGTACGAGAAACGTAATCTGATTCAAGCGCTGCTGAGATTTGATTATCCGACATTTCTCTGGTAAGGTCTCTCCCATTTCCGATCCCTTATGTCTACTGACTTTCCTACTCTTTTCCTACCTGTTTTACCCGTTCTCGACCAACATCTTGCCTATCTCATTTTCTTTTGGAATCACTTTACACAATGATTCATCTGACATCGGCTTATGCCACTTCCTGATCTACTGAATGCCTGAACGATACGTGTAATTGACTGAGGCAATATACTAAAATGAAGTGACGTTTCTCAGTTGGAAAATTATATAATGCCTCACAATTTAGCATATTAAAATTAAATTTAATCGGAAATCTTGGTACTAAGCGGCATTGAACTGTCATTGACGTCTTGGACATTTAACTGAAAACCAAAGGGCGTATAGTTCAGTAAACTGGACAGAGTCTTCCAATAGATTTGATTTTCACACTCCGCCTGCCACCTTGTGGGTTAGACTTTGGCTAACAGAAGGCTCTGATCGTGAATCCACCATGGTACCTTATCTATTTTGACCTGGGCAAGCTGGTAAGATTCTGCCTATGAGCAAGGCATTCACTGATTTGCTTATTACATTGATAAATGTGTACCGGGATTTGTTAGCACACACTCATACAAATGAATATCACGGCTGGTAATACTAGTGGTATCTTAGAGGTTTAGAGCCTAACAATTATCGCTCTTCGCTGTAGGTACTTTACCCATATGCTTCTATATGAAATAACGTACTTTCCATCGGTGATTGAGATAAGCTTTGTTTTGTGAGTATGTTACTTAGATACCGTAACTTGGATGTCCAACTAAGCTCTCCTCGCTGATTAAATAGACAAAACTAAAACCATTATCAAAAACCATGAATGTTTTTACACGTCAGCAGCATTAGAATTTTTTGACAAAACTACTCTTTGGGAATGTCTCCTTATGTACTGTTCACCTGAAAGGTGTCTTTCTCCTTCAAGCGCCCTCATTAGAAGAATTAGGGTATAACGTATGCTTTCCAATCCCGTTCCCCGTGGATATGACAAAATGCGGAGGAATATCACACAGGTAACCCTCAATTACGCCAGTGAGTTTAGGTTCAACCACAACGTCTAATACCTCGGTGATGTGTTGGGCATTCAGATTCCACCTTCACCCTCTGTGATCTCTTTTCATAGACTCGGTACGAGTAGAAAAACAGTCGTGGAAGCCAAACAATGAAGTGGCAGAGTGGAATAGACTTGTCGTCAGAAGTTCTCTCCCGCGTAGGCTAGTCCCAACATTCAGGCTGGTGCATATCTGATCCCAAATATTTCTGGTCGTTAGCCTTGCATGATGTGACTCCTGAAGGGATACAGTGACGGGACTAATGCAAAGGTTGCCTTCCATCAGTGCTCTAACAAAAGCTTACCTAAAACGTACATGCAAACCACGCAAAACTATATGACTTCACTAAAATATTTTCTTTCCTTTTTAACCCAAACTTCGGAACTTGTTTTCCTGTTCGTGTTACATAACTTATTTGACTCATAAATATTGTTTTAGTAAAAGTGTTTGTGCATTTTTTATGCTGTAGATGTTAACCTGAGTAATATCGTAGATGAAGCAAAACCTTGCACGAGTACGCGGAGAGTGCCCATTTAGTTGCTGGTTCACCATTCAATATGAGAAATGGTTTGTCAAAAATTTACTTGTCATATGCACACACATCACTGATGACTATAAGTGACCTGTATGGTGACGCAGTTTTGGCTCGAATAGGGCAGCCCTAACATAACCACCATGTTTATTTTTTTCAGTCTTCTTTGTTGCACTGCAGATGGCTTTCTTCCCCTTTCTTCTATCTTCTCATTCATTCTTTTTTACAATAAGCTGTTTAACTGTTGATTGCAAGCTTAAGAGTTTGATCGATTCTCTCAAAAACTAAAGAAATCTAAGTAATACGATTTTCAGAAAGATATAAGTAAAGAGAAGAAAACGAACACGGATTGAAAGAATTTAGGTGGACAGTAATACATGTGAATGAGATACAGAACGCAAGCTCTTATCAGCGGTACACAAAGCCTCCCAAATCGAGGGTGTACCAATCCAGATTATTTAAAATGAACCCAGCCTCATCTATCTTAATAGTTCAGTGCTACCAGAGACCGTTCAATAAACTTCTCTCTACGCGTTTTTTCTCCCTTTAGGTCAGGGATGTCGAAGAGCAACGTCCAGTGAGCTGTAATCTGACAAGAACATACGAACAGAGAACATCAACACCCCAGCGACAAGTTTCGCGCAAACTTGAGGTGAGCAAATGTAATGTTTTCATTTTTACGCTTACTTTTACCTCGAAGTGAGTGATTAGGTCTGACAGAAAATGACTGACCAAACGTTAAACAAACTTCATCGAATGAACCAAACCTTTTACGCTTTTGTTGATCTGGAAAACAAACTTTAATCGAAGTGATGGTACACGCACGTACTTCTGAGGTTGATAAATACAATTAATCGATTGTATCATTTTCAATAGACATTGAAGACAACTAAGGTTTCAGCACATTTACGTGTTGTCACAAATCGGTAAGCACATCATTTTCAAGAGTGCAGTTGAGACTTTCACCTGCTATCTGATCTAAGAGGACAAGTAAAGTACTTCAAAGTTGGCTATACGTTTGGTTTAAATAAGTTTTCTGATTAGCAAACGCGGTGGGATGAAATCCATCACAAGGGAAAGAAGTATCTTTGTACTGTCATAAGGGGCAATGGCCGACTTGTGATGGAACACGGTCTGAGACAGCCATAAAATGACTACATATCAAGTGACGGTAAATACTTGAATGAGAGTCTTTTGATTTCCTCCATGAAATGTTTACTAAAAAACAGGTGCAGGACTAGAAGCCTACCGGAGACACACCGGATAATCTATATGGAATGATGGATTTACAATGAAATGGGTATTATAGTCTGTATCATTTTACGAGTTAACCTTTGTTCAAAATATGCCGTTAACTCCCCGAATAGTGAAGAACAATTACTATATAAGCAATCATTATCCTATGCGAGAGGTTGTTGACTTAAATCAACCCTTTATTTAACATACAGAAGACTAAAGTGTCCCGGTGAAAAGTTGTTTCCAATCCCCTTACGTTACGCTCTTGAGATGTTCGAAAACGTTTACCCGTTCTAAACAGTGCCATAGATAAACGTGTTTTCATATCGTTTTGCGTGGTAAATTTAGCAAGCTGATATGGCATTTCCGATTAGAAAAATCTGATCACACCTAGACCTCACTTGTGATTAGGCATCGACCGTCGTCTATCGATCGTGTGCAAAAGGCGACCATCTGTGCAGAATTGGTAAGCATATGCTACACACTGACACGGTGCACACGGGATGCCTGGTATTAGTCACATAGATACACTCAGTGGCAATCTACCAGTTAGTCTACACAGTTCTGGAGATTGAACTATTTGTTTATTAACGTAGTTTAATTCTCAGAAGAGAACAATTATTACGTAGGTTAGAGTTACATAGGGTGTTTCAATCGGTTTTTAGATTCACAATCAACAATTTGTGCATTATTTAGAACATCAAACCAGAATAACCGCTCCTTCTTCACCTAGAAATGGAGAATTTAGAGTCACCCTTTTATTTGAAATCTGCCTGCCAAGTTCTTTGCACCAAGAACAACTTGCTTCTAGTTGTTTCTAGATAACATTTCTCTTCGATTGATTTTTGTATTTGGGCACCCGGTAGCCTTTTGTCCTGGATATTTTTGAAGATATGTAGTTAGTTTACTTCGGCACCAATAGCGCCAAGACGTTTTGAAGAAGAGCCTTTTTAATGAATTTTGCTAACGGCACCTGCTCTGCTAAAATTTCGCTGAAGCATGCAATCAACGTTTTGTGTACTAACCAAGTTATGTGCGTGCATAGTGCTAAAATTTGGCAGTTAACTTGCTCAATACGTTTTTAGGCTCTGACCGTTCCTGATTCACATTATTACAGAATGGACGAAAAAATAGTGACGGGATCGTGGAATCGCAGGACACAAGGGTTCAACCACCCACACCTCGAACAAATCGCATTTCTGCCGATTACGACCGTGAACAGCAAGCCTACGAGCAATATTTGTCGGTGAAACGAGCGGAAACATTCAGTGGGGTAGTAGACAGACGCCCCGTGCCAGCAGCTCGTCCATTGGATCAGTTCTCAGATATCCGGGTAACTATTGTGACATAGACGTGAAGCAAGTATAAGGGTTCGTTCTGTGGGTGAACACAGATGAATGGGAAAGTGCAATTTCAGGTTATTCACATTATCCAAAACATTCCACGGCACGTTTCTTCATCCTTGATTCATAGCGATAACTAACCACCATTTTTGCTTGCATCGCCAAATTAGTCCGTTAATACCACTGTTTATCTCTCTTGGTCTTTTCGCGAATATCATCTCGGTACATTAGGCTTCATGCACTTAGGTTACGCAGCCAACTGACATTGCTGGATCTTGCAAACTAACTCACCAACCACACACGTTTATATTCTTCTGATAGTTTCTATGTTGTCAGACGCAGACAGATCACATCATATTTCTCAGCTTATTATCAGGTATCGTTCATTAAAAATTCAGTTTTATACAAAATCAAAAGCAAGACCGTGAAAAAGACTATTCATTTTTTTCTTTGACTGAAACCGCTAAGGAGGGTGCACGTCACTGAGCGATTAAAGAGAAAAATGCTTTTTATTTTACCGCAGCTCTTTTGGCGCGTAGCCAATGCGTGAGCAAACACCAAGTCGTTTCAATTGTGCAAGCATTCTGTACAATCGGTTTATACCTGCTAACTGACGACAGATTTCTAACAGCCCGTAAAGCATGAACTGTTTAGACCGGTTCTTCTGCCTGCACTCTCTTATGTGGCTTAACCAGATTTCTTAGCAATATCACACACAACTAGGGCTGACTAGGACGATGTGAACGAGTGCTTACGCTGCTGCATTTATTAATTCTCATTGATCAGGCTGATAGCGTGTCGATTTATACCCACCAATCTACCGTGTTTTTCTTATACAAATTATTACTGTGATGAGTAAAATGATCAATTGTGTTTAAAAGTAAATCACCGGGATTTAAATTAGTTGAAGATATCATGTACTCAGTAGTATTTTTCTGTCGAATCACATCAAATCTTTGAGTTTCTTGTTGACAACAAATTTTTGAGACACTGGGTAAAATGCAAATTTGTAGAAATTGTGTGAGATCTATTTGGCCTTGTTTACTTTTCAACACTCGAATGCTTCGGTGGGAGTAGACCATTCGATTTCACAGGCCCCGGGAGCAGCGGGTGGTTTTTCATGTGCGAGTTTGGATTTCACTCGGTGTGGTGGGTTTAATTCTCTGCATGTCGGTTATCAGCTTGCAGCCTGAGGATTAGCGACTGCATTCCTAACAAAAATGAAATAAGTACGCACTGCTGACGAGTTTCAACAGGTAGAAAATAAATATCCGGTTATTCCTCGTCAACCATTGCATAGAAGATTTGTATTTAAGGAAAAAATACTAAGTGGATAACAACATAGTTTTCAGTTATTCGTAACCAATTTCTTCGATGAAATAATTTAAAGTTTAAAAGAATGTTTATATTTGCCTCGAAAATGTATTTTTTGTCTCCCATTCAGTCATCTCCTTCAGGATTTGATGGACACAACAGATAAATGATTTTAAGCTATCAACCCCTTTACTATTATTGTATCGCTCCTTGAATAAAGGTCGGAAAATGTCTTTCTTGTGCACCATTCTGTCATCCGTAGCTCACTAATTGTGCCTTGTTTCTCCCAAATAGTTTCACTAGATTTCTATCACTCTCTTACCACAAAAGTTATTAACTCTTCCACACTCTGATTTCTGATCAATTTTTCTTTGAACTGTTTCAACAACAACAAACTCTTTAAAGGTTCAGGAAAATTGTATGCCAAACAATTATTTTAAAAACGTACTTTGTTAAGAAAAAAAATTGGTTAAGTTTGCCTGTGGTTATCATGAGAATCCCTAATGGTTGCGTCACATCACTTCTACGCCAGTGACAGATTTCCTCAAACGTCTTATTATTTCGACGTATGTATTTCCTTCGAGTTATAATCCTATAACTCAATGTTGGTATTCTCCTCACGAAGATGTGTCATGGCTAGATAACTGGGGTCTTTGTTTTGACCTTACTGCCTTTTTAAGGGTTTATAATAGTTAATCTAATACTGATGGCAAGTATACATCATACCTTATTGTATAAACACATATTTACATATATATGAATGTCTTGTAAACACACTTTCTCATACCTGAATCCATTCAGGATTTGGATTCCAGTTTCACTGATAAAAGCGATCGATCTAAACGGAAACCTTCTTCTGCTAAAACGCCCACCTCCGGAATATACGGATCCCAACGGGGTTCCAATGATCCACATGAAGAGAGCAAACCCAAACAGATTGCAGGCTGGTGGTTGCGTGAAAGCGCAGAGGCATGGGAGCGGCTGGTCGATGCGACCGAGGTTGATTATGCCCCACATTCTAGTTCGGATACGGAACACACACGCCCGTCCTTGGAGCAGCAAAGAAAAGCCCAACGACGTACAGCGCTCAGTCTTTTGAGAGACGCAGATTTTGCACGGCGCGTAGCTCTCCGGTTAAGTTCAGCCACAGTGATTGAGGATAGTTCCAACTGGAGAGCAATACAACCTTGGGCCGAGGCTCTGGTGGAACGGCGTATTGTGATTAATCGCCAGTCAGCTCGACCGGCATCTGCTGGAACCCATGGTGGCAGAGAAGCTCCTACTGAATCAATACCTGGTTTAGAGGCAGCCGCATATCTACGCACAATCCTTCGCTTACTAACTAATCTTGTTACTGTTAAATGGTAAGTTGTATTTATCCGTTCAGTTAGAGATTATTGATAAGAAAATATCTGTTTGCTTTCGAAAACTGCGTGGCACACAGAGTAGGAGTCTAGAAGTAAATGCTTTTTGTGTTAAAACAAATAGTCGAGAAGGGAAGAAATGTTGTGTCCGAACGGCAGGAGAACAGATCACCGCACGGTAATTATGTTATCATGCATCTGTTATCCAGAGACTATGAATCATAGTTTGATGACTGATTTTGAACAACTTATTTCAGCTGTAGTATTTTAAAATCACACTATTTGCATATATTGACGATTGATTACTGATAGAATCTGATGCGGCGAATTTGCGTGGTGTCACAATTTGCCGTCTGTCCTTAGTTTCTCTTCAAATTTTTTATATACCTACACCAGAATTTGATAATTTCTTTTATAATGCCCTAATAAATCGCTATCTGAGCAGCTATGTCTCACCTGGCGGACGCATCACAGATAAAGTGTCGACGCGTATACAAAAGGCTCGGTCGGCATTTGCCAACTTGAGACATCTGTGGCGCCGTCGCGACATCCGGCTGTCTGTAAAGAGTCGAGTGTATGCTGCGGCAGTTCGGTCAGTTCTGTTATACGGCGCAGAAACTTGATTATTAAAGAAACAGG